AAATTATAATATTAAGAAGATTTATAAATTATTAAAATTTACTTGATTCAAACGAAGTTCATTAAACATTTTATTTCAACTTTAACAATAATAGATTAACCAATGGAGTCCAGTAAAGTTATAATGAGAGAAAATGGAATTATGGAAGCAAAGTTTAATTTGGCAAAGAATAAAACTGAATTTCAGGGTGAAAAATTAAAACGTCATAAAAGTCAAGATGAACTAGAGCTGGGTGATTAATCGAAAAGTAATCGAAATCGACATTTAGAACCTACACTGTAAAAAATGCAGAGTTTCATTTTAACAAATGTGTGTAGATTGAACATAAAAAAATTAAGTTGTCCCAATGAAATCTCAAGAATTGTGTTGTTCCAGCTCATTTTAAATAAGTAGTTTGAATTAGCAAAAAAATAATTTTTTTAAGTGTATATTTAATCTAATATTTCCAGGATGATCTTTTTAAATAACTTTTCTGCGTGTGGAGTCGCATGACCCCGCTCTGTTAAAGGCTGGGGCTGATAACTCTGTGGCCACTTTGCAGCCACATCTGGTCTCTGGTCAAGTAGGATGATGGACCCATTCTTGAGCCTTACTTTGCACTACATTGATGGGATGCTGCGCCAAAGATGTCTTGAGACGGAATATTTTCTATTACATTAAAATTATTATTTACATTAAAAGATTTGTTTACAGAAGATTCAAGAAATTCACTGTTTAAAATATTATTTGCAGGATATACAAGAGTTATTATATTTATAGGAGATACTGCTTGTTTTTACTTCTAATATATATTATAAGAAAAAAGTGACTTTTTGTTTCAGGCAATGTGTGATTTAATGTCAGCATTGGCAATTCAGCATTGATGTTCAATTAATAATCATTGATAGTAGATAGTTTGTGTTGTCCTTGATTTTCTTCAAATCATGTAATGCAACCTTCATTCAGAAATCTCTCACTTGTAATATGTGAGAATATTTACTGTACAAGACCTGTCAATGAACTACGAGGGTAAAAAAAAAATTAAATCATTCACTTTTCGTAATCGAGTTAAAATGCAAAATTGCAAAAAATCGCAAATTGCAGAATTTACATTACTGACAGTAATCATCAACTCAGCAATTAGTTTTGCACATCATCAACTCAGCAATTAGATCAAGTTGTTAAAACAATTTAATTTGCTTTTTGTGTATGACTATTTTGATGTTTAAATATTATAATTCATGACAGCCTTTAATAGTCTAACATACAGTACGACCCACTTTTGGTTACAAGTTGTCGCAAAAGGTCAACCAAAAAGGTCATCAAAAGATTATTCTTCTCTTTCTTGGACAGTAAATGTTTACACGTTCATTGTGGGATTTGTAATTAAGGATACACTTAGCCCTGCAAGTTTTAAACTTCAAATGAAAAACTTGAAAACATAGTCTATTGAAAATGGTTTCATGAATAGTAGTTTTAAAAATTTTTTTTATCAAAGTAGAAACAATACAAACACAAATGTGTGAATAAGACAACACTATACACATGCATATTTTGTGTTGTTCATAAATAAGTTCTTTATCCCCAAAATGGCAAACAACAAGACCATATGTAAGCAAAGCATACCTTTTTTCATCATTTTTATAATTAACTAAATCAACTAGCCTGCAATGCATATATAATCGACAGTTTTAAAGGGCACCTGTGAAGAAAATCATCTTTTGTAGGCTGTTTGGACAGAACTGTGTGTAGGTAAAGTGTGTCCACAGTCATACTGGATTGATATAAATTTGATAAGTCTCTTTTTTTTAATTTCCTGACAATAAAATAGGATCCAAATCCCTCCCATTTTGAGGCCCACTGCAACATGAGGTAGGAGTGCGGTTATAACATGTCTCCATAGTAACACATATAATCAGGGACGGGCAAAAATACATTAAAAAGTATTTTAAAATAAAATACAAAATACCTCAGTTTTACTTGTATCAAAGTAAACTACAAAATACAGCAGCCACAACAAGTATCAAAATAAAACACTGTATTTTGTATTTTGAAAAATAGTGCAAAATACTTTTACAAGGGAGCATGACATTTCTTCACAAGCTTTCTATCGACAGGCCTATTCAATCAATCCTCTTACCATTAAAGTGATCTAGTGGAATAAAAACAATGTCTGACAGCAACGGCAAGTTTCTGAGCAAGTTTAAGGCCGTACTCACACTACAGTTGCCTCGAACCGGGCCAAAGCACGCTTGTCCCCCCCTCCCATCTCCCCCAACGGCCAGCACTCACACTACAATCGGGCCTAGGCAAGCTTACATCATTGATGCTGCGCTGTTCAGTAGTGAAGCGCTCTCGCTCAGCACAGTGGAGATTTCTGTAGTTATATTGTTTCAGTCGTTTGATATGCAGTGACATGCAGTCAAATATTTCGCCAAACAGTCCTCAGGGATGCGGTGACACGCAGTCAGATATTTCACCGAACAGATCCGCCACTTTTAGCACTCATAAACAATCATAAAGTTGCAGGAATGAGGAGGTCTGCTGAAGGTGCGCAGCTGTGGTGCAGTGAGGGGTTTGCGTCTTTAATAATCTAGGGCAGTTTGCGTTCATTGAACAGTAAGAATAATTAATAAATCCATATGAAACAGTCCCTTAAAGTCACGTCTCCCTTTCAGTTTCAGGCTTTGGCGCGTTTTGCACTCACACTACAAACGTACCGCGCCAAAGCCCAAGTGTACCGCGCTCAGGCCCACCCCTTCCAACCGGGCCAGGGCCGACCAAGTGAACCGTGCCTGAGCCCGATTCAGCGCACTCACACTTCTCAAACGATCCGGGAAACGGGCCTGGGCACGGTTCGGATAGCATAGTGTGAGTAGGCCCTAAGTCAGCTTCTCTGCCACACCATTCACCTCTACTGTACATGAATAAGTATTCATAAACATTTAGTTCTCTTTCACTTTAGTATATATTTTGTAAAAATTGTATACATAAAGTCCTGTCTTGAAGAGGATCTCTGGATGAACTGTAAAAAAAAAACATTGAAAAAAACATTGCAGATAATGAGTTGGAAAAGTATCTGTTCATTGTGTTTTCATCCATTGCGTGGCCAGTAAAATTGCTTTTAAAATTGCTCTTAACAAGCTAGTTTATTTAATTCACCTATTGCAAATGTCTTTGGATTGTGGGCAAAGCCAGAGCACCCAGAGGAAACCCACACCAACACGGAGAGAACATGCAAACTCCACACAGAATTGCCAACTAGCCCGGCCGAGACAGTGCTAACTACTAAGCCACTGCCCTTATTTATATTTTTTTTGGTCACATTCATTCATTCATTCATTCATTTTCTTTTCGGCTTAGTCCCTTTTTTATTCCGGGATCACCACAGCGGAATGAACCACCAACTTATCCAGCACGTTTTTACGCAGCGGCAACCCATCTCTGGGAAACATCCACACACACTCATTTATACACACACTTATACACTACAGACAATTTAGCCTGCCTTATTGACCTATACCACATGTCTTTGGACTGTAGGGGAAACCGGAGCACCCGGACGAAACCCAGGCAGACAGGGAGAACATGCAAATTCGACACAGAAACGCCAACTGAGCCAAGCCGAGCTGAGGTGCGAACAAGCGACCTTCTTCGTGTGAGGCAACAGCACTACCTACTGGGTAACTAGTAACATCTTCAATCTTAGTAATGATATCTCTAAAAGTCACATTTGCCGTGCAAAAACAGTGCAAAGTTAAACTCACGCATGCGTTGTGTGTGTGCGTGAATTTTGTAAGGACATTGTGTGTGAATTAACTCCACAACAAATACATCAAATAATCATTGGGAAAATTTTCACTGTAATATTTCTCGCAAACGTTATGTGAGATCTTTTTCCTTCATGTCTGTCACTGTGCTGTTTATCTGATGCTGCTGAGACGGAGACACTCTTATACCAATATTCTGAAAAGTATAATAAATAATATGATTGGTGTTTTGAGCTGAAACTTTACAGACACATCCTGGAGACATAAAAACGTATCTTAAATCTTATAAAAGGATAAAATATGTGCCCTTTAAGTCTGTGTATCTGTGAACAGGTTTCATTTTGATTCATAGTCATATGCACGTTAAACTTTTCTAAAAAACACAAAGTCAAAACTTTTCCTTTTTAAGTATATTGTTGTCCGCAAACGAACACCTCAGACTTTAAACAAGTGGACGGATATTGACTTTCAAAAATAAAAGTAAGAGCGTGACAGCGAGCCCAAGTCTCTGCTATTTACTTTCTGATTATCCCTTCTCAGAACATGGGGACAAATTCAATTCCCAATAAGACCAAATAAATACAGTCCAATCGAAATCCGGTTACCTTGTGTTTTACAGAGGAGAGGGCCAATCAATCCCAGACGATGCGGCTTGTGTGAGACACCTTTTTTGTGACACGTCAGCCACCAGTCTGGGAGAAATGATCACTCATGTTACCCTGAGGGCCACAATAAAAGCGAGGAAAAGCTGGCTTTCACTGTCAGACTCTCTCAACGCTATTGAAGCACTTTCCTCCTCAGATGACAGTTCGACACAATTGTACTAGCAAAATTTATCTGACCCCCATCTCTCCAGACACGCTGTCTTTGCCACACATAGCCTACACACACATTTTCCCACCCACGAATAAAAAGGAAAAAACGGGTCAACAGCGCCCTCTAGAGCTATGACACGGAAGTAGCGATCAGTCATAAGTGGCATTAATGGAGCATTAACGTCTCCTGCTGGAGAAAATGATCTACTGTGATTTAAAAACGCAACAATTTTGCCCTGTGAAGTTTTTCCAAAAGCCCTTAAGATGAAAGAAGGGCAACACCTCAAGGTTTGTTTTTTAATGTGTTAATGTGTGCTAATATCAGGACAGTATAAGCAGCTTTAATCCCTATGCGGCGTGGAAGAGAACTTCTGAGGCAGTATACATTTCACACCCTCAGTGTTTCATTGTGACTGTAAATCCGGATCAGAGAGGATGTCTCACAGTAACTGGATTACAGAGATCTGGATTACATTTGTCCTCCACATGCTTAGCCTGGGTTTATTATTTGCTTAGTACAAACGGGGGGTTCAAGAGGGAAATAGAAGAAACAAGAACCTGGGAGTCAGTGTAAGTCATTTTCATTCATTCCAGATCTCCTGTAAACAACAGCTTAACTGTGGCAGCAAACCATACGGCTGATAAAAGATTACTGGTGAAAATTTTACAGGCAAACTTTTTGCTTAGTCTATAAATTAAAATCATCCAGTAACTTGTACTTATCTGTACTTATCTGTAGTTAGAGTTTTAATGAAGATAATAATAATGGCATAATCTGACAGATTTGCATAAAAGGATCTACAGATTACTAGAAAATAAATTAAGCAGCTTTATTGAATGATTGCTAGCAAATTTTGTTAATAATCACAAAGAACCTGCAAGTAGCACTAAATTAAATGTGAACATTTATCTAAACTAGTATTTTCTTGTCAAATAAACAGCAGAAATCATATGTTTTGAAAGAATACATTAAAATAAATACATGATAATAAAATATTTGTTTATTTAAATAATCACTTAAATCATTATATAAGTCAAAATGATTCATTATAAATGATATGACTAATAATTTATAACAATAGAAAAGTCATTTACAAAAAGGTAATACATAAAATTGAGAGATAAAGATATTTTTGTTAACTTTACATATGTGGTTATTATATATCCCAGTGATTTTTGAAATTGAACAATCTGCTTAATAAACAAACTTGTAATTCGTATGTATATATTTTACATACTATTTTTTCTATGTAGATCTCCTGTATTTTAAATTACTGAATCTATTTATTCACACATTTATCCTAACTTTTTGCTTCACTTCTATTCTGAATTTCACCAATTTTGCATTACATGTTAAAGGTGACTTTATGCAGGGATTGTGAGCAAAAATACACTAAAATGTATTTTAAAATAAAATACTAAATACATATATTTTAAGTGTAGCAAAATAATCTACAAAATACAGCAGCCACAAAATAAAATTGTATTTTAAAAATACTACAAAATACTTTTAAAAGGTAGCATGAAATTTCTTTGTAAACCTTCCATAAACAGGCCTATTGGATCGATTCCATTAAACTGCCTTAGTAAAGTAAACAATGTTTGATAACAACAGATATTCTCTGCCACTTCATTCACCTACAGGGCCAAGTTGTGGCATAATGTAAATTGAACTTGTAATCCAAAGGTAACTTGTGTTTTTTTCTTTGAGTTTAGTATACATTTTGCACAAATCTTACAGAAAGTCTTGTCTTGAAGATGATGTCCTATAGCAGTGATCACCAAACTTGTTTCTGGAGGTCCGGTGTCCTGCAGATTTCAGCTCCAACCCTAATCAAACACAACTAAAACCTAATCAAGGTCTTACTAGGTATACTTGAAACACCCAGGCAAGTTGGAGCTAAACCTTGCAGGGCACCGGAGCTCCAGGAACGAGATTGGTGACCCCTGTCCTATAGTTTAGACCATTTGATGCTGATAATGGTCACTAAAATTCTGATCATCCATATTACATCACATTTCTTAGGCAAACATGCTGAATTGTACACTATAGCATTATATATTTCTGGTCTTAGCATTGCTCAAAAGTTGTTTTCAATAGTTGTTGACTTTAACAACTAAATATACCCTCACCCATTGACTGTTACTTTCTTTAAGCATAATTTCCATCCATCCAATCATTCACCACCTTCTTAAAATAAATTAGTTTTATGTTTTGATCTTAAACTTAGGCAAATAATGAGAAAGCACCAATCAGAGACTTCATTTTTAAGATATCATTATGTAAAATACTTGCAAAGTATTTTACAGTATTTTTAAACTACAAAAATAAAAGACACTCAAGTATTTTGATACAAAATATTAAGCCATTTTCATGAACCCTATCAAATACAAATTACAAAATACTAATTTATTTAAAATACACACAGTACATTGTACATAAATACTGCCCATCCCTGACTGTATGTATAACTTTTACGTAATGTATTTTGCATATATTATATTGCTGTGATTTGCAAGTGAAATGTTAATTTACAGTTCTTTGTGTGAATTTACATATTCAAATACTTTTTCAGTCATGTATACTGTTATTCATTCATTTTCTTTTCGGCTTAGTCCCTTTAATAATCCGGGGTCGCCACAACGGAATAAATTACCAACTTATCCAGCATATGTTTTATGCAGCGGACACCCTTCCAGCTGCAACCCATCTCTGGGAAACATTCATACACACTTATTCACACTCATAAATTATGGACATTTTAGGCAAGGCAAGTTTATTTATATAGCACATTTCATGGCAATTCAAAGTGCTTTACAGAAACAGGAATAAAAGAGACAAGTGTAAGAAAATAAAAACAAATAATAAGAATTATAAAAATAAGAATAAAAATAGATAAAACAGATAAAATAAGTTGTAAGATAATGAAAATTTAGCCCACCCAATTCACCTGTACTCCATGTCTTTAGGACTATGGGGGAAACCGGAGCACCCGAAGGAAACCCACTCAAACACAGGGAGAACATGCAAACTTCACACAGAAACGCCAACTGACCCAGCCGAGGCTCGAACCAGCGACCTTCTTGCTGTGAGGTGACAGTACTTCCCACTGCGTCACGCATACCCTGTTATATATTTTTAAATTTTAATGTCACTGCTTTTGTATCCGTATATTTTCACTCATTTATCCCTTTTCACTTTAAGCTTGAATTTAAAGATTTTGTATTTTGATTTAGTTATTTAAATTAGTACCATCAAACGATTAATTACAATTAATCACATGAGATAAATGTTTGTATTTAAATATTAATATATACATGTGTGCAGTGTATATTTACGTATATGTATAAATACAAATATATTACAGATATATTTTTATGTACATTATATATATATATATATATATATATATATATATATATAGTTAAAGTCAGAATTTTTAACCCCCCTTTTAATTTTTTTTCTTTTTTAAATATTTCCCAAATGATGTTTAACAGAGCAAGGAAATTTATGGTACGGTATGTCTGATAATATATTTTCTTCTGGAGAAAGTCTTATTTGTTTTATTTCCGCTAGAATAAAAGCAGTTTTAATTTTTTAAGCCATTTTTAAGAACAAAATTATTAGCCCCTTTAAGCTATATTTTTTTAATCCTCTATAGAACAAATCATCATTATACAATAACCTGCCTAATCACCCTAACCTGCCTTGTTAACCTAATTAACCTAGTTAAGCATATGTTTTACACAGCGGATGCCCTTCCAGCTGCAACCCATCTCTGGGAAACATTCATACACACTCATTCACACTCATAAATTATGGACATTTTAGGCAAGGCAAGGCAAGTTTATCAAAGTGCTTTACATAAACAGGAATAAAAGAGACAAGTGTAAGCAAATAAAAACAAATAATAAGAATTATAAAAATAAGAATAAAAATAGATAAAACAGATAAAATAGGTTGTAAGATAATGAAAATTTAGCCCAATTCACCTGTACTCCATGTCTTTAGGACTATGGGGGAAACCGGACCACCCGGAGGAAACCCACGCAAACGCAGGGAGAACATGCAAACTTCACACAGAAACGCCAACTGACCCAGTTATACATATTTTTTTAATCCTCTGTAGAACAAATCATCATTATACAATAACCTGCCTTATCACCCTAACCTGCCTTGTTAACCTAATTAACCTAGTTAAGCCTTTACATCTCACTTTAAGCTGTATAGAAGCTCTTGAAAATATCTAGTAAAATATTATTTCCTGTCATCATGGCAAAGATAAAATAAATCAGTTATTATAAATGAGTTATTAAAAATATAATGTTTAGAAATGTGTTGAAAAAATCGGCTCTCTGTTAAACGGAAATTAGGAAGAAATAAACAAGGGTGTTAATAATTCAGGGGGGCTAATAATTCTGACTTCAACTGTATACATACATACATACATACATACATACATACATACATACATACATACATACATACATACATACATACATACATACATTAATACATATATATATATATATATATATATATATATATATATATATATATATATATATATATATATATAATTGTGTATTTTTATTTTGAATGCGATTAATCATGATTCATCAGCACAAATTTAAATGTATTCATTCACTCACTTATCCATTAAAATAATTATCTTATATTTTATATTTTATTTATTTATTTATTTGGTTTTTTTTGCATGCGTGAACTGTGCATTTTCACTCATCCTTTTTTTCATCTTCACATGTCAAGTGTGAATTTAAAGCTGCCGATGGCACAGCACAGGAGCAGATTCTGCTGCACACTGATGCATCTCACAGTCAGGAGGGTCAGTCACAGGAGGACAGTCATGTAGAGATCCTAGACAGCGAGAGAGGAGGTGGTTCAAAAAAGTCTATGTCATGCTGGAACAAACATACCTGAACGGGTCGACACGGCTTGTCAGCTACTTACATTCACACTCTAACATCTCTAACCCAGCAGTTTCACTTCAATTCACACTCTGCAGCGGCTGTGACAGACAGGATCAACCCTGGGAAGACCCGCCATTCACAACTTCAGTTAAGTGATTTAAAGCAGTTAATGTGTGAAGGACCTTTAAATAAAGGCCCCGTTTACACTAATGCGTTTTAGTTTGAAAACGCATAAGTTTTGCTACGGTTACGCCAACCGTCCACACTACGCCGGAGTTCTCGAGCGCCGAAAACGGATCGTTTCGAAAACGCTGGAGAGGCCGTTTTCATTCTAAAACGCTGCTGCTCCGTCTCAGTGTGGATGATGGAAAACGGAGAAATCTGAAAACGGAGGCGGGGCTGCAGACGTTCGCCTCTCTGATTGGGGCTTTTTCTGAATATTAAGTAGCCTAACACGCACAGTTCAGTCCTGCATCTTCTCCGTGTAAGTTCAGACTTCGCAAGTTTGATCAAGGCTGCATCTCTTCTTCTCAGTTTGATATGGAAAAGCAGACTATACCGAGGACACGGGTAAATCTTCAAAGGGAACAGTGTACTTTATAACTTCATTCACATCACCCTGGCTTCGTTGTTTCACTTTCTCAACAATAAAATGTATACATGATATAAGGAACTGCCTATTTTCATTTTAATATTAGCAACTTAGACAGCAGAAATGTTGAGGCGTCGTGCTGCATAAGATGAGTGTCATCTTCACTGTAATAGATTCCAATGCCCAAAGTCAGGGAATATGTCGTTAGATAAAGACAACAAGATAAATGAAATATCCCGTTTAATAAATATAGTGAGATTAGATCCAGCGGGAGATGCTTGATGAGAAGTCCGACTAGCACAGCTCTCAACTGGGTAGATGGGCGCAGCGCTTGCCCGAGAGCGTCTGTGTGGTCACGTGATGTGCGTTTTCAGCGTTTTGGTGTGGACGGAGAGCAGTTCAGAAACGCTGGGTAAAACGCGAGTGTGGACGCGGATCGTTTTCATTCTAAAACGCCGTTTTAAAACTAAAACGTACTAGTGTAAACGGGGCCAAAGACTACATCATGAGGGACAGATGGGCGGAAATTTTAGGGGAAAACTGCTGTAATTATAATGATGCCACATTTTTATAATAAATAGTTTTTTTATGATTGTTTTCGTTTTTTTTATAAATCTGTTGCACCTGTTTGTGTAAATATCAAACCTTGTGTGCATTTATATACCTTTTGCCATTTTCTTTTTTTTTCTCAGAAATGTTACATTTTCTTGCAATTGTGAGTTAATCTTCTCTCACAATTCTGACGTATCTTATTATTCTGTTTCTTGCAGCTCTAACTTACTCTTACTCTTACTCTTGTGATTCAACAAGAGGCAATACACCCAAGAAGTGCTAGTTAGCCACCTGCTGCAAGATATTATTATTATTTTTTTATTCAGTGACAAATACAAGCTTCCATATGATTTGTTTGTGAGAATCACATTGAAACAAGCACTTTTCTCCACTCAACAATGACTAATTCAGTGCTTTTCAGGGTATTTTAATTCATTATAAGCATTTGACTGATTCATCTGAATGATTAAGCGAAATTTTTTCATGATTGTATGATTTAGTATGATTAGCACAAAATATTTTGATCACCCCCTGGTGGTTGGATATAGCTTAATAGGTCATAAAGTATTTTATTTATTTATTTATTTATTTATTTATTTATTTATTTGTTTGTTTGTTTTGTTTATTTATTTATTTATTTATTTATTTTTTATAATAAAAATGCCAAAGGGGTCAAATCTACTGACCCCTAAAGGGATAATATAACAGGCCTGAAGCCAGGGGGGTTCGGGTGGTTCGGAAGACCCACACCTCACTGACAAATGTCCAGAATTTGCCCCATACATGAGCTCATTTGTCCTATTTTGACTGCTATGCCATCATAAATATTGATAATAACCCATTAAAAAAGGTTTAAAGACTAAGCGGAATTGGCTGACGCTTTGGTGTGACTTTGGCTAATCCGTTTTGGCCATCGCTAACATATATTTTATTCTTACAATTTGACGCAAGAGAAGTCTTGTTTCACTGCAGAGTTGTTGTGAAACTTTATTCTTGAAACAAAAGATGAGCAAGTTGCACCAAAAGCAGCCCATATTGAAACTGAATTGAATACTATTTTGGCTAGAACAATGGTGAATCTTTACATTATATTATCATGTTTTAATTTTTTTTTTTTTCAAAGGGCCAAATTCTGACTGAGAACAGCTGAGTGTGCTGGCCAGTTTGTTAGTTGCCTGATAAATGACAATAGACTACAGTTTTTAATTTAAAACTTTAACAGATTCTTATTATTTTTCTAATGATATATGATGTAATGAATATGTATTTTAAAAATAAGTATTATTTCACATTTATTCATTATAAAATCTTTAGGAAATGTTTTTGATATATCAAAAAGTGCTGTTATGATGACCATCCGACAAGCTAATTCAGCTAAATAGTGCTTAAAATGTCACTATAATGCAGTAATTAAATTACATAATTAAATAGAAAATAAAGAGTACAACTGCAAAAATGTCCACTTTTGGAGAAAAAAAACCCCTCTTTCACCAGGCTGGCTATGGGTCTGTATATTGCTTACATTTTTCAACATATAGACAACACATTATTTGAAGACCGAGTGTTTGTGTAGGCCTACTCCAACTCATCCTGGTGGTAGGCTATATATTGGTATATTTGGCTGTATAGGTGTTCAGTTGTTAACATTACCTCTTTTTGTGTAGGCTACTTACATGGGAAAAAATGTATCTTTTTTTCAAGGCAGGTGCAGGTGAAATATTAGGACCTCGTGGTCAGGAAGTGCGCCACGATGCAAGTAACTTATTCACAATATTAACCTATAGAATAACTGACCGAAACCGGTAAACTGAGAAATTAACAACTGACATCAGACTGCTCACGTAGACATTCAAAGAATGAAAAATGTATGTGTCGCTACAAGAAAGTAACCTGTTGAGTATTCAAATGATCCAGCAGGGAGCAGCAGTGTATTAAATCCGCTGAGATTGAGGAGGATCAATCCCTTCTGACTGACGTGACGTGACCGCGCCTCCACCGTGAGTTTGTGTCTGTTGTCAAGGAAGCGCGTCACTGGTTACTGACATGGCGTAACTCTTTCACCTGTAGAGAATGGCGATGAAGGGTTAACGTTACCTTAACCTGATATAATTTAACACAATGACAAGATAACACGCACTCGGTTTGGATAAATTAAGTATCATACCAAAAGGACGTCATAAAGTCAGAGGTAGTACATGTTACCTGTTTGACGTTCCACCGGCTTTCTAGTCTTTACCTTGTTGTCATTCTTCAGTATTTTCCTTTTGAAACCTTTTGTTCCAGCTATGTTATTGCGCGATAAGATACAGTTTTGGCTATATGGATGAGATATTCGTTGTGTGGAGACCTGATATTTGGGATGTCAGTCATGGAGGACACACTTTATTACTCGTATCCTTTTTTGTGTATGAATTATATGTGGATATTGTAGTCTATTCAGCTGTAATTTACTGTAGCAAAACAACTGGCTTAGTTGATTATTTGTACAGATTTTTTTATGACTAACACTAAACAAACAAAGCACACATTATATATATATAGGAAGTACCTTCCTTAACTTTGCATCACATTAGCATCAGATCAGGTGTATATGGAGAAACTGAAGATGAAAGGGAAGTGCTGTTACAGGAGCAGAGGTACTGTCGGGCTCGGGCTCGAAAGCTTTCTCTGGAAACTAATCGCAGAAGAAAGTAAGTGTGACAAAAATGTATCTGATTTTATGTTGATTTCATTACTGCATGGGATTTTGGCTCATTTTATGGGTGGCTGATGAATTTACATCAAAGTGTATTTTATGTAAATTACATTATATTATTATATAAATTTGGTGTCAAAACATTTATCACTAAGTTAAGCAATTGCTGGAAAATTTCCACTAACTAATTTTTAAAACATTGTAGTGCAAAAATTAAAATAGCATTTTCATTAAAAATGTGCTCAATCTATTTATCTGTAAACATTTTTGTTTGTTTTTTTTTTACATTTGTGCACAATGTATGTAAACTTCAACACAAACATATTATTTTAGTTTTATTAAAAAATCTCCGGACTCATCTTTGTCAGTTAAAAGTAAATTTTCATAAAGATTTACATTTACAAAAATAACAAACATTTGCAATAGTACATTTATATGTATGTCTGCTGTAAATTTATTTCCTAAAGCATTTAATACATTTCAACGTGGATATAAAAGCACACAGCTCTTTCTGTTGGTCTCTGAAGACCTGTTATGAGATGAGGTGGCGTAAACAAGAAAAAAAGCATTAGTGTATTCACCAACAAGGCAACTATGTGCTAAAAGACTGCCGGGCAAGAGCCCCAGCGATCAGAAGCAATGCACACCAGCTGAATGCAGTGTTGACAGTGAGTGTCAGATATACTAAGAACTGTCTCCATGCTGTTAATGACTCAGTCTGGGGTTTTGACCTGGTCAGTCTCTGTGCACATTGAAAGTGAAGCTACCCTACAGTGCGCAGATACTGTTATACAATCCTTTACTTGTCAGCCAGGATTTACTTGCTTGAAATAGAAGCTCTAATCAGTAAGAGCAAAGAAAGAGTACTTTATACAAAGCAGTGATGATGAGGAAGAAGAGACTGTTTTGTCAGTTTAGAGAAAAAATTAAAAATGAAAATGTAAAGTCTAAAAGAAAATCATTATATTAATTCAAACTATCACTGTTTAAAATTGATCAATATGACTAAAATAACTTGGTTTAAAGCATGTGATATTTTAATAATATCTTTTTAGATTTCATAAATACGATTATTCAAACTGTTTTAACTTAGAAGGTCTTAAAAGGTCTTTTAGTAGTATAGTTTTTAGTTTAAGTAAAACTTTGATTTAGTTAACTTTAGTTAAACTTTAGTTTAACATTTTTTAGTTTTCAGTTTAACTATTTTTAAAGAATACATCAGTGTCATTGACATGATGGTTTTTCTGATATTTTTAAAACAAATTACAAAAATCAATCACAATTAAAGCTATATCAAAATAAACATACATTAAAATAAATATAATATATAATATAAAATATATAATATAAATAATTGTATAATTAAGAGAAACAAAGCCACTTAGACAGCTTAACAGATCACCTAATAACCAATCCT